CTTGGGTTAGGTCACATTATGTATATCCAGTAAGACAAAAGAGCCGAATGAGAAATAGCCATGGTGATGGTGGCATGGCCGGTGTCCATTGAAAAATAATTGAGAAACTTGGGGTCTTCCAACCAAGTCTGATATATATCGATGAGGGATTCCTGAAACAATCTGGATGGCACCACAACTTGTGGACTCCTGTCCCTGAGTGTGAGCATTTATGTTTCAAAAAGGTTGGATTGATCATTCAAATTCAATTAAGTAAATATACATTTTCAACCCGATAATAATAATAATAATAATGGACTTTTGACGCCGGTGTCACAGCTACAGCCACTCCATGTCTCTTTGTCTAGGAAAGAATAACAAGGTGGCCACAGCCACGCTTCACCTACCCATTACCACATCTAGTTTCCTTTCTTTCCCGGATCAAATTTTCAATAACACATGTTTCACAACGAAAGACTTTCATGTTCAACTGTTTTTATTATATGATTATTATTAGATATATTAATACTAAAATATAAGACATTCTAATTTTTCTCTTTTCTCTAAACATTTTTTCCATTTTCTTTCACTCCCTATTTTCCTTTAAAAAAAAAAAAAATTTATGAAGAGTAACATGCTCTCATGTTTGAAATATTTCTCCACCAAACCTTCAACCTCTAAAGTCTAAACCTAAAAGGTTCAATTCAATCTTCCACCTTCCTAACACAAAAAGGGAAGCCCTGAATTGATAAGGAAAGGAAAGAAAAGGCAGGCCCGTCAAGTGGCTGATCTAATATATATGGGCCACCTTAAGTTGAACCAGACAGTACACTAGAATAGACTAATGTCTTTGTTCGGCCCGGCCTGACCTTATATGGGCTAACTAATTTGAAAAGTCCAATAGTCAGGCCCACGTTTCATGGGCTTAAAGAAAATGGGCTGTATTCTCTTCTCTACTACTGTAGCATATGACGGGAAATCCCAAAATCAGTTCAAAGTTGAAGACTCGACAGATTTCTTTTACTGCAACTTCAAAGCATTCGGAAATTGAAACGCCGGCGACGCACTGAGGAGATTCAGTGGGCGGCGATGTCAGTCTGAGACTCTCGAAAGTGCAGAATGGCGGCCCTCAGAAGACGGCAGCAGGGAATCCAACACACACAGAATTCAATAATTGTGGAGCCAATCCCAATCCCATTCCCAATCCCAATCCCTCCGGAAGACGTTGACTCTTCCTCTTCTTCTTCTTCTTCTTCTTCTCCGTCTCTGGCAGCCAAAGCCACCAGAGCATCTTCTGGTGCCCACAAAGACTCTTCCCTTTCCTCTGCTTATGCCTCCATCCATCCTTCTTCTGTTTCTCGTCTCTCCAACCCCAACTCCACCCTCCTCAATACTCAGGTACTTTTTCAATTAGTTTATTTGAATTGGTGTGATTGTTCATTAATTGAATCTTATTATTGTTGATGAGTTTTCATTTCCTCTTTTTTTGAGTCTGTTTGTTTGTTGTATGTATCAGCTTTAACTTTTTCACTAGAGCTCTTACATCCCATAAACAACACATTTTCATTCCTAACTGAATGTCTATTAGGAGACCAAGTCCCATGACTACACATCAAGGAAAAATCAAAACGAATCCAAGCGAGGGTTTTGGGGCTCTCTGGCTAGAAAAGCTAAAGCCTTTTTGGATGATGAAGATCATCAACCCCAAGTCTTAGAATCAGATGGAAGAGCTAAACAACAGATGCATGAAAGGGGTGCCTCAGACAGGGTGAGCTTTAATTCAATATTTCAACAATTTTGAGTTCTGAGATTGAATGATTCAATTCTAGGCCGCTCATTGGTTTGTTATCTACTGTACCAGAATGCATATCAATCACCTGAGAACCATCGCAAAGCAGACACTCCTGCATTGCAGAAGGGCCTCGGTGCAATTACCTCATCCCTAAACTACATTGGTAACGCTGTTGAGGTAGTTACTTCTTTGTTTTCCTTGTTTTAAATATTCTTAATAACGCTGGGCAATTGGATGATCATATTCTTTACTTCTACCATTAAAATGTTAACTTTCTGTCCATGGATGTTCTATTTACTTTCTGTTTCTCCCTTGACTGCGTTGGAATGTTCTATTTACTTTCTGTACGTGCTATGCTTCTCTCTCAGGAGGGTTTTACAGTTGTGGAGAACCGGACAGCAGGCATCATTCAAGAGACACGCAAGCATATAAGGAAAAAACCTAGCAGTTCTTTGGCACAGAATCAGGCAGCAAAACAGCCCCAGCTGCCAAACCAAGTGCCGCAGATGCAGACTGATCAAGAAATTCAATTGAAGGCATCTCGCGACGTAAGGTGGCAACTTTGTGTCACTGGTTCATATGATGGAAATATTTTGCTGTGTGTGTTGCCCTTAACTTGTGAATTTCTTTCAGCTAGGACCCTCCCTGCCAATGGACTTTTATACCAAATATAACCATTATTGTTCTTTCCAAATACAAAGGCATCATGCCTGGTCTCAAATTTCAAAATTTTGCCAAATCTTCTGTAGTTTAGTTCTCAGTATACCTGGTGAACATTAGACTTGAACATGGATATCAAGAATTACAATCAGTGGGCTTCCGTTTTATTCTCTTTCTCTTGGAGGAGGAGAATGGTTTTTGGAATGCAAAACTTTTTTTGGACATAGTTGAATTACATATAAGGTTAGATTCATGGTAAACCACCTAATTCTTGTAACAGGTTGCAATGGCTATGGCTGCCAAGGCAAAACTTCTGCTTAGGGAGTTGAAAACTGTCAAAGCTGATTTGGCTTTTGCTAAGGAGCGATGTGCCCAACTGGAGGAAGAAAATAGAATCCTTCGTGAGAATAGTGAAAGGGGAGAAAACTCGGAAGATGATGATTTGGTATGTGTTTTTGCCCTTCTATGATTATACCTTTTCCCCTTGATTTCATGAATAAGGTGGTAAAACTAGTGTTAATCTGAGTTCAAATAAGAAAAACAGGCTAGAAATCTGTACTGGGTTACAAACTGGAGTCATAGAAGGCTGACAGTTTTGCGTTAGAATTTAGAACTTAGAAGTTGATCATCCCAAACAACTGTAACTTGGAAAGAACTTGATTTAAGATGTCAAAATGGTAGTTAAGACTTATCCAAGATATACTTACCTGAAATATTCATAAAGGTTATTAAGAGACAATGAGTTTTCAGTTGTGTGTCAAGTTCCCAGTATTTAGCCATCTTAAAAAAGGGTGCTGTCTTTCTTCTCCATTTGTGCTTGGTAATAATTTTTGGACATTCTGCAAAATCTATCTCGGATATATATATATATATATATATTTTTTAGCGAGCTTGCATGGCTAATTACTTCTGATGATTGAAGTGGATCATCTTTCCTTGCATTAATATTTCCAAATTTTGATGCCTATGTGTTCATTTCAGATAAGACTTCAACTGGAGACACTCTTGGCAGAGAAGGCAAGATTAGCACATGACAATTCTGTCTATGCACGTGAGAATCGCTTCTTAAGGGAGGTTGTGGAATATCACCAACTTACAATGCAGGATGTTGTATACTTGGATGAGAAAACTGAAGAAGTCACTGAAGTTCACCCCATCCAGGGAGCTCTATTGATCAACACGAACGCCATCCCAACCACATCACCTCGACTGCCTCCTGAGACATCCCTTGACATTAGTCTCGAAGCAACCAAGGATATCTCTGTTCGCCCAATGCCACCTCCAGAGTTTGTGCAGGGTTCCCATTCTCAAAGTTCTGGCCCACGAAGCTAAATCCATGCCCTGAATTAGATGGCAGAGTATGCAAAAAAACAAAAAAAAAAAGAAAAAGAAAAAGAAAAAGGTCCAGATCTCTCTGGTAGTGTGGATTGATCTCTTTGAAACTGTTACAATATTTTACATTAGATGAAACTTTCATTGTGTATTGTAAACCCTTCTGCTAGTTACAGTTTTAAATTTGTAAAATCACCCAGAATATTTTGCTTTAATATTACTCGACTTTTTAAAGACCCAACATTGTATTATGTTTTAACATTAAAATAATTTATTTTGCATTTTTGTTAAAATTATTGTAATATCTAGGTCACT